CTAGCAAAAAAAAAAAATTTAAAAAAATCAAAAAGCCCCCCCGCTGCCAGAGGTGTCGGTAAGGGAGATTTGGGCGGCTGTGTCTCTTTCAACGGAATTAATTTGGTGCGGGTCGTTCATCCCGGGCGGGGGACCTGAGTGTGTTTGCATGAGAGCCGTCCCGCTGGGGAGAGGCTCCGGGAGATGCCCCCGGGGTAGGGGAAGCGTATGAAAGAAGGGCAAATGGAACAAGCAAACACACACACACACAGAGGAGAAAACAAATAAAAAATCGTTATGCTGGAATGATACGGAACTGAAATCGGGAGGAGCAGAAGCGATCGCCACCCGTTCCGCGGCGCAGCTCGGGCACGCCGTGCTGCCGACTTGGGTTCGTGGTCACCGGGCGCGGAGGTAAGGGAGAAGGATACAGAGCGACGTCGGAGGGGAAGAGTCTCTGAGGATATTTGAGGTGTAAGGCACAAGCGAAGCGGAAAGTAGCATTTCACTGCGATGCCTTAAAACTGTAGAGCCAGGGAGGACAATTCTGTACCCCGATGTGTAGCAGAAAAGATGTCAAAAACCGAATATCTGACGGATTTCTCTTTTCCCCACCATGGTCTAGGAGTGGGGTTTGCAACACGGCAGGTGGGGAATGTGACTAAACCCACTGTGATTATCAGCAGCGAGGGAGACAAAGTAGTGATCAGGACGCAGAGCACTTTCAAAAACACAGAAATCAGCTTTAAACTTGGAGAGGAATTTGATGAAACTACCCCCGATGATAGAAACTGCAAAGTAAGTGTCACTGCAGTGGCTTCTTTTTTCTCCTCCCCACCCCCGCGGCTGTATTTTTGGTAGAGTCAAAGGAAAACATGTAACTTCTGTTACTGCCGGTTGCAGCACTGTGAAGGACAGCAAAAAAAAAACCCAAACCAACAAAATTGCATCTTACTTGCCCCCTTGTGCCATGCCGTGTCTGAAGCAATGCATTACGTCACCAGCCCCCTGTCTACCTTCCAGTGCCGCGAAGTTAACTTCTCACTTTTCATTCAGTCCAAATAACATCTGGTGTAAATTCTTCCAGTCGAAATGCTTTCTTCCCTGTGTCTTTGGGGGCTTAACATAAAAGTTCTCCCAAGGCACGTCTGAAACAGTGGTTCTTGTGAGACTGGAGCTCCAAAGAAACAACTTTTTTGATCCTTTGATACAAACAAGCATTGCATGGAGTTCATGCTTAAAACGAGCATGATTCATGGGCTTGGCTTTAAAGTGACTGGGACTACTTTATCATTCTAGATCCACATCCATCTATTGAAGGGAATTCAATAGAATACTGCATGCTGAATGTGTGAGCAGAATGCCAAACACCCCAAATAAATTAATGTCTTTGTGTTTCTTGGTATCTCACAGTCTGTTGTGACCTTGGATGGAGACAAGCTAGTGCATGTACAGAAGTGGGACGGCAAAGAGACAAACTTTGTGAGAGAAATAAAAGACGGCAAAATGGTAATGGTAAGTATAAAGCTCATTGAGCATTCACATACACTGGTAATGTTCTTCACTTGCATTTACCTCTCAAGCTTTATGAAGCATTATTTATACACAAACTCTTAAACTAATTGATGGGGAAAGCCAGCAGAGATTTTTCAAATATTTATTTTGTGTTGTTTTGAATCTTGTTTTACTGACAACTAAAAAATTGCCAGCATTTTAGGCAGGCCAGCCTGTGGGTTTTCAGTGTGTATGCTCTTTCAAGAGTTTGTGTAAATGCTGAAGGAAGAAGAAAAAAAAGTCATAGTCAGCTGGAAAAGATACAGAGCTCATGATTACTGAGGCAATGATCTGTTCCCTGTGCTAATTTAGACTTCTTTAAAAACTTGTTTTATATATGCATGCATAAATAATATTCAGTTACACAGAACAAGTATTTCCCTAGGAAAATAAAATTTTGATATTGCAGGAGGTAATAGCATTTTCATATTCAATAATAAAGAGTTCACTCCTATCATGTTAAAAACTACAATAAACAGCAATTGTGTGAAGAAAGGTCTTGTTTTAAATTCACATTCTTCTCCTGACTTTTCAGGAACAGGTGGGTGGGGTGAATAAATGGTGCAAATTACGATATCTAGTGTCCACGGTGGCACTTCTCTTGCTTATTATTGGCACAGGCATGTAACTTTCAAAAATAAATCCCTTCAGCTACACTAATTTATGTGACTCGGTGGCTGGAGAAAACCAGTTAGCTAGTGTTCTAAATACTTCAGAGAGTATCTGTATGGATGGAGGCTTCCAAATAATTAAAACATTAAAGCATACAGTCAGTGCAACACAATGTGACAAGAAATTCAAGGGGAAATACCTGCTTTGTTTTTGGAAACAGCTACACGCATATACAGAAAAGCTTCTCCTTTGGAATTTGAACACAGTGAGATGCCCTCTTTCATTGGCATCAGGAAATAACTCCAAAAATCACACATCAGTAGTTCTAGATACATAAGTGCACAGAATGTATTTATTTTTAATACAAGGTTCTCCTTAAGCATATGCTTATGCATAATAGTATCATCATGGCTAGGCTTCACAAATGAAGATATGGGAAGGACTCTACCCACACTTGCTACTTGCTACTATTATGCTTACGCATAATAGTATAGAATATGGGTATAGAGGATTTAGATTTTTAGATGACACATCTTGCAGTGTGATCATCTTTGGGAAAATCAGTGTTAAGTCTATATTAAAATAATGCTATATTTAGGAAATTACATTAATGAAAATTACAATTTGTGAAAATTAGAAAAATTAAACAGCCTGACTTCAGTTGTCTTGTGAATGTGCGTTATGTGCTTCTTGGGTTTGAAAGTGAGGAGAAAGTTACGTTTTTTATGGGATCTATAAGGTTTTGCGTTTTCTTAATTTAAAATATCAATAATCTAGACCACTTTGTTTTACTATAAATTGCATAATATAAACCTATCTTGCTCTAGCATGAACTTGTGAATATTTGCTAAGTCATTACAGAAAATGACATGTCTGTCTTTTCCTTGAACTTGCAGACTCTCACCTTTGGTGATGTGGTTGCTGTTCGTCACTATGAGAAAGCGTAGAGTTTACCTGAGATGTTGCTTCTCCTGGATGGATTAATGTACCGTCCATAATCGAACGTAGATAAAATGCACATCACTGGCATGAAAAGTCAATTAAAGAGTGGAGGGGTGGGGAAGGGGAGGGGGATGTTCTTCTGGAAAAAAAACCCACACAAAACAACTTTATGCCATCAAATTGGCAACCTTGTGCTGTATAGTGAAACAGGTTAAACTTGGCATTAAATTTCTGAAACACTTGCCTCCCTTTTTTTTTTTTTACAGTAAATGGAACATATTTGAATTGTTTTGGAATGCAGATCAAACAAATTAAAAAGTTTTTTAAACCTGTGCTCCTTTTGCATTGCGTCAGCTAATATTAAAGTGTTGTGGAGGGAGTTGTTGAAAAGTTCCCTTATTGTGAGTTAACAACAGACTAGATGATTTCTTGCGGTCTCTTCCAACTATGATGCTGTGAAAGTATGTGCAGTGCACAAAACTGCAGCAGCCTCTTTATGTGGTGTAGAGTACATGGAGGACAAAAAATTGCCTTCACTCCAGTGGCTTCTTTTTGCTGGAGAAATCTAAAGCCCCTGTCTTTATGTACATAGGCAGAGAAGTGAGAGGCTCAAGCCAGTTTCAGCTCCTCTCTTTGCTGGGAATTTGTTTCCCAGTAAATGCTAACGTCAGTAGGTAGACAGCCTTTGGTGTCAGGGGGGAACCTGTAGTTGAGGTTTTAGTAGTTATGAGAGGTTTTCATTTCTTTAGGGTTTTTTTTGTTGGTTTGTTTTTTTTTTTTGCTAATATACAAAAGACTGAAGTAAATCAAAGTGCCAAGATTGAAATGTTTCACAGAGCAGGAGGAAGAGACCAACATCGTAACAGGCAGGACCAGGGAAACCTAAAGTACAAACCTTATCTTTCATCAGTCTCCACAGGGTTGGGAGGAAAATAGTACGAGACAAACCTTCTGAGATTCCCTGAGTGAGCTGCAGTTTCAGAGCTGGTATGTACAGGAGACAACGATTTGCACTGTGAGCAATTTAAAATAAAATGAAATAAAATGCTGCTTAAAAAGAGATAAATTAAAACCTTATTTTCCTGAAGGGCATTTCCCTAAAAGCCCAAGGTGGGAAAAACTGCCTTACACTTCAGATTAGGAAAATTGAAACAGGTTACTGGCAGCATGGGGGAGGTCATTTGGAGAGTCCATGCCTTCTCACCCACTGACTCGGTGGACCAGATAGAGATGTAGCTGCCTACAACCCTTCAAACAAATGGACCGTTGAGCTGTGGCTTTAGCTGGTCAGTCCTCTGGGAGGGGAGGGGAAGGTGTGGCTGCAAAGGGAGGTGTGGGAGGGGAGTCCTGCAAAACTTCCCGGGTCTAGCACTGCACCCTACTGTCCTTCAGATCTGCTACATGGTATCGTGGGAAGTGGCTTCTTGCTTTCTTGGATAACAGCTAGGATAACGGGGCCAGCTCATCTCATAAAAATTCAGGACTAACTGGCACCTAACCAACACAAATACAAAATTTAATGCTGTTAGATTTGCTTTTTCACAAGCTGCCTGAAAGGAACGTTCAAGTCTGTTTTTTCTTGTGGAGACCACTAGAAGTCCTTAATTATGAACTATTATAAATAGTGGTGGGCATTGGTCATTTTTAAAATCTAGGAGCTAACTTTTTTTCATCAGAGAAATGAAAAGTAGAACTCATTCCAGTGGTATGGGGAAGTGCAGTCTCTGTTTTGGGCTGCTTCAGCCTTGTGCCCTTCACTTCTATTAGCTCGCTGAATCTGCTGCTTCAGAACCTCGTGCTGCTTTCATCTGTCTCCCTTCTGCTGCCGCCTCTTTGCCTGTGGGTGCATTTGCCATATGACTGCCCTTCCCAGCCAACCCCTCTCAGAAGGGTGGAAGCAGCTGCTTTTCCTCCATCACTGGTGAAAACACACTTGGGTCCCCAGTACCGGCATTAATCCTCACAACAAGTGATTTGGGGACATCACAAACTAAAATAAGGTTTTTATTAAATATGAGGAAAGGAATGCTGAGACAGACTGTTAAGACTTGGTTTACAAATAAACCCTGAATGGAAAATATTTTACATTTACAGTTGCTCGTAAGCAAAATGCACTTTTCCCTATCAGTCTATAAGTTCTGTAATTCACATGAAACCAGCATGAAGCTTACTGGTGAAGCCTCTTGCTATTCTAAAGATAAGCAATATTAATGACTAACAAGGGCAAGAAGAGTGGAGAAGTGCTCCCTGTGGCACCAGAGAAGTGAGGAAAATACCAACACACAGGACTTCCAGCTGCTGGCAAAACATCTTTGCAAAGCGCTGGAAAACAAATAGAATGGCACAATGAGCAACGGGACGTTTGGGAGCAGCCACTGGATCCAGGACATCCTAAAACTGACTGACGCTGCGTCCTCTTCCTCACCCAGAGCAACTGACTCCAGCAATGAACAGCAGCGCCTCTACCATAAAGCCTTAGCAATGGAGACACAACACACTTCAGTGGTTTCCTTAAGTCCTATTAAAAGTGTATTTGACAGCGTATTTCATGAGCTTTAAAAAATGAAGTAATTTAAAGCACATTAAGCAACCAGGATCCGTTTTTACATGTATACTGTGAGAAACCTCCTTTCCAAAAGATGCTCAAGGCTCCCGTGAGGGGTCTGGGCGCTCTCTGCTCACAGCAGGGCCTGGCCTTGCCCACGGGCTGGCACCACAGCCCGGCCGGGCCCGCAGGCAGCAGCGCAGCTCCTCCGAGGTGTCTCATGCCCGGACCGGGCCACAGCTGGCTCCAGGCGGGGAGGAGGACTTCCA